GTTATGTTTCAGTTGTGCTCTTGATAAGCCATTAAAACAGTAAAAACACGTAAAGTTTCCTTTTGCTTTTTGTGTCTCCTGTTCACCAAAACATACCCATCTGTGATGGAAAAAGAAAGTAATCCAAAAGTAATCTAAAAGTAATCTGATTACGTTACTTTTTAAGACACGTAACTGTAACTGTAATCGGATTACTTTCAGAGCCATGTATTCAGTAATCAGTAACTGATTACATTTACAAAGTAACCCTCCCAACCCTGTTCATATCGCAATATATTCCAGAAGTCTGAAATGCAAAAAATTTCCCACATTAGGGCAATTCACCCTACTTAACCCCGAATAAAAGAACCCAATAAAAACAGTTGTTAAATAATAGTGAAGTCACGTTGTAATAACAATAACTCATCTCTCGGTTTGAGTGTTCTTTTTCTGCTTTGCCAAAAGCCACTGTGTCAAGTGTCTAGTGACTATTTCTCTTAGCGGATGCATGTCAATTTAAATCAATATATACAACTATTGTTTAAATCAATAAAAACATTTTCTAAATCCATAAAAGCATTTCAATTAATATTGGGAGTCATGTCGTTACTTTGTTGAGAATGTGGCCATGTAATAAGCGGGATAATTTGCAGCGACTTGGTCATTATGGGGAAAAATAACACCCAGGGATCAAGATCCTGATCTGCCTGACAAGGCTCCATTAAAATATAAATATTTTTAGTGAATTACTGAGTTTAGGCACGTTAATAACGTTTTAATGAAGTTGAATACAGTATATTCATATTTGTCAGTGATTTCATGTCAATTCGGCGAACATAAACATAAATGATCGTGGTGAAGATGATGATTAAATTAGGATTAAAAATCGAGAGCCGGCTGCATTTCCTCTCGTTCGTTTTTTTCGACTAAACAACATTATTTTGTTAAATAAAAACATGGTGATGTTTTGTAAATGATTACATGTCTCTTATTTAGCACAGACTATGATCCTATCCGTGACATATGGATCTTAACAAAGATCCGCTATACAGTAGTACCAGACATACTGTACATCCAGCGTACTGTATCGAAGTTGATTTCACATGAGCTCCAGTGTGGAACCCCACTGCACCCCCTGGTGGATCAATGATCCATTGCAGCTGGCTTCACAATAATTAAATGTATTTATCACGGGGGCGGTCTTAAGTCAGACTGGAGGCTGTCTCTTCGATCACGGGCAGATCACGGGCCGACCACGGCCCTCGCGTTTCAAACTGTCCTAAATGAGCTGCTACATCTGTAGCTTTCAATTTTTAATTTTTACATTTGTCTACAAGATGGCGATAATTTTAACCCTTTGAAGCCTGCAGCAAAATGTCACACTTTTTACTATTTTCTGCAAGGTTCACTTGCTACTGAAATGATATGTGTGTGTCGCTTTTGATGTTGTGTGTGTGTGTGTGTGTGTGTGGTGTGGTGTGGTGTGGTGTGGTGCATGTGTGTTTGTGTGTGTGTGTGTGTCCAACTTCAAAATACTTTTCTCTTAGAAGGCCACACTGCGTAATAATCTAATTCAATAATAAAAACAATGAGTTGTGAGAATCACAACAAAATTGGACTTTGTTTTGGTTCTTGCTCAGATTGTTTATGCAGATGCAGGTGCACTGCAGCCAAGGTTATAAGTATTAGCCCTTTGTATGGCGGCAAATCTCTGTCATAAATCGCGAGGGCATATGAGATCCACGCGAGCACAAGTCAAGCAGCCGCGGACGTATATTATTTTCGCGAGCACTAAAACGGCACTCGCGCGAGAGCAATATTGAAGCCTGCAGGGGAGAAACATGCCTTGAGCATGTACAGCATCTACATGAGCTCTCCTGCGCTCTCGCGAGCAATTCCTGCTCTTCTGCTCGTGAAACTCTGGCCTGCTCTCACTCGCGGAGAAATTTTAGGAAGTGGGCGTACCGTGTCCCAGTAACGCCAAATCTAATTGGTTACACCCCTCCTCTTTTATGATTGGCCGTTGTCTGGATTTAAACCAGGAAGTACTGTTTGTCCCTCTCCAAACCATGGATGTATAATAAGAGCTCCAAACCTGCTCCAAACGTGATGAAATATGGCTGTGGAAACGTCTCACGTAAGTTACTTTACTTTACTAATGATTGTTTTAATTAAAGGCATGCTTTTGTATTCTGTGGTTATTCCACAAGAGCCGTCCTTACTTATAAATGGATTGAGTTTTTTTAGATAATACATTTGTATACATATTTTTAAAGATAAGAACCAATTACCTTTTCGGTCTTGACATATGATAATATAAAATGTAGCTTTCAAAAACTGAATTTGGAATTAATAATTTTGATTACTTTGGCAAAATATTTTCACAAATGTCGCTTTTTCAAAATGTCCCCAGTTTTTATTGCCTTTCTCAAAGAAATAATACTACACAAAAAAAGTATAAAATGATGCAAATGTAAAAAAGCCCAAGAATTTTTCAAGTTTCTTGGCACTTTAATTTCTGAATGACCACTTTTTTTTCTGTTCAAATGCCCTCAGCTTATTTTTTGGAATGTTTATGATGAACATTGATGTTTATGTGCCTTATTCTGTATTTAACATAATTGTTTCAATAAAGATTGACCACATTTCTTAAAAATATAATTAAATACAAATAAAATAGTGAATAGATAATTGTGGTATAGCGTCATAACTGAATTAACAAACTCTGACCAGAAGGAAATATTAGCTCCACCTGAAAAAAGGACTGTTACACCTTAGTTAGGGTTTACAAACACATATATTCAAGGAATCTTCCTCAAGTATTAATTTAGTTAATTAAAGTGTACTTTATTTTTCTTCACAGCATATTCTGAAACGGCAGATCCTGGAGAGACTCCTGTCGAAGTTTGAGCTTGCACTCATTCGAGCACCACTTGACCTGGATTTCCTGGAGTTTGCATGTCGCCAGGAGCTGTACCTCCTGCAAGCACTTTCGAGACATGTTGACATACCGCAAGGAATAATCCAAGCTCTTCAAGAGCTGTTTGGACTACTTAGGCAATATTTCGATTCAGATGCCCCAAATACAGCAGTGGGATCAGTTATTGGTCTAAGAGGACGTCCTAAGTTTGAAATTGAGAGGCAGCAGTTGGTTGAGATGTTGGGGACAAACCTATCGGTGCCTTGCATTGCAAAACTGCTAGGTGTTTCTTCCAGTACAATCTTTAGAAGGATGAGAGAGTTTGGCTTATCTGTTTCAGAACTTTATAGCTCCATCAGCGATGAGGAGTTGGATAACGTGGTCATATCTATCAAGAATGACATGCCCACTGCTGGATACCGAATAGTCAAAGGACGGTTGTTATCTATTGGTCTACGTGTACAATGGACAAGAATGGCTGCCTCAATGCATCGAGTGGATTCCATAGGCATCCTCTCCAGACTGGCTAGTCTGGGCTGTGTTGTGAGGAGAACATATTCAGTGCGAGGGCCTCTCTCGCTTGTGCACGTGGATACCAACCACAAATTGATACGGTAGTGGTATTTATATTTCGCTAAGTGATTAAGAAATAATCTCTTTGTAATGTCCCAGATTTGGAGAATCGGTGTTTCAATTCCAGAGTGCTATAATAGTTTGTTCTTTGGTTTTTCAGTTATAACATTGTCTTATTTGGTGGAGTGGACGGGTATTCGAGAAAGGTAAGACTGCATTTCACTTCAGTAGACACACATTAAACAAACATGTATTTTTTGTACGAGTTTACTGCTAGCTACTTAAAACCACAAAAGAGGTCCCAACGCTGTGTCCTGGCTTTGGTCCAAATGGAGAAAGTGTATGGACTAAAAAGGAAGCAGCAAAGTCAAAGTAGATATAAAGGAGATTTTGTGCATTGCCTATTTTTGCTGCACAAGTATTATGAGTCAGTATACTGTATGTCAGTATTGTTTGCTTATTTCTATTGCAACAGGAATTCTTTAATCTCTGCATTTTTTCCCCTATAATACACAGTTTAACAGAATGTTGTCTAGTTATTGTGTGTAATTGCCCTATTCTTAAATATTCTCTGCAGGTAATGTACTTGGGTGCTTCGACCAACAACCGTGCGTCAACAGCCTATGGCTTCTTCCTAGAGGCAACACAAAGACATGGAGTGCCTTTAAGGTGAATTCACAGAAAAAAGCACACTCTTTGGAGAACTAGCTCAATACTGTGACACTTTTGGATGAATATTTTCTTTGACAGTCCTTTGGTCAACTGTGTACATTTCAGGGTCAGAGGAGACCAAGGAGTAGAAAACGTACAGATAGCGAGATTCATGTTTTCGGTTCGCGGCACCGACCGTGGAAGCTTCATCTCTGGTAAAAGTGTTCATAACCAGAGGTAAATTGCAGCATCTCTAGTAACTCAATTAGTGAGGTGGAATTATCTGATGTGTAGACCAAGCACCTTGCACTTAACCCATGCTAGGCCAGCATGAAAATAGATCACTTGAACTGGTTTTCCCTAAACCATGTATTTTCATCCATAGGATTGAGCGTCTTTGGCGTGATGTACGAGTCATTGTCACCAACAAGTACTCTGCGATACTGCTCTCCCTCGAAGAGGATGGTCTGCTCGACATCTCATCAACAGACGACCTCTTCTGTGTGCACTACATTATTCTTCCCCGACTTCAGATGGACTTGGGGATTTTTACAGAAGGCTGGAACCATCATCCACTCAGCACTGAACGGAACCAATGTCCAGAGCAGTCATGGCAACTTGGACTGATGCAGACAAACATTGATCAGCCGGAGAGCCCTGAGGTATTGATCTCGTTTCAGCATTAACCTCTCATTGTTAGAAGCCTAGTTACGTTTATTGGATTGTCATTGAAGATATTAATTACTTACCATTTACTTTGTGTAATATATATTGTCAAAAGATTACTTTCTTTCCCTACTCTTGGCATGACCATTTTCTGGGCATTTTATTCAGTTTGTGTTATTTTAACTTTGTAAAAAATAACACGAACTATTACTTGATGTCATTGTTCCACTTTGTTTATAAGACATACATTTATTTCACCCAAGTGTTCAAAACCTCTGTTATGGTTATTAGGAGCCAGATGTTGACTGGGAAATTGCTGCTGACCACGATGGAGAAGAGGATGCAGGGATTGTCGTCCCCGAATTCGACTGCCCTTTGAGTCCAGAAGACATAACTGAACTTCAATCAGTATTTCAGCAAATTGACCCAAACACTCCGGTCAAGGAACTGTACTTACTCTGCCGTGAGTATGTAGCTGAAAGATGTGGCTCTTAAGAAATACAGCTCCCTTGAATGACACAGATGAGGGTAAACCTAGCCTTAAGCCTCATAGTAGGAATATAATGGGGAAACAGTTTAAGTTAGTAAGGTGTATTATATGTGTATTACAGTGACTATAAGAGGTGGAAGAAGTACTTAACTAAAAGTAGAAATACCTAAATGTAACAATACTCTGTTCCAAGTAAAAGTCCTGTGTTCAAAGTGTTACTTAAGTAAAAGTACCAAGAGTAAAGTTACTTGGCACAACTGGTGACAATTGAAACAACAATCGACACAAAATACAGCTCAAAAGTATAATGGTTCCCCAACTTCACCATTTGTTTCAAAAACATTTTGACTGGAACAGTATGTGATGTCACTTGAAAGTTTGACTGTATAGTAACATTCTCATCTTGAACAAATGAAAACCTTGTCAAATAAAGTGCAATAAAGACTGTTTTAACAGAAAACATCGATTCTATGAATCTTATGAACGACTAAACTCCCTGCTACTTATAACAGCCTGTGTTATAATGCTCAGGAACTCCGGATATGAGCCGAGGTGCCTTGTCGGAAAGGTAATAGAGTTGGAGCATGCATTAACTACTGGAAAGCATACAGTGTGTGTACCATAGCGCACGCTGCAATCGTGGTCGAATTCAATTAGGATTTTAAATCTCTCTCTCTCTGTTGAGGTGATGGGGACATGTGCCTGCCCCGTAAGCCATTGAAGGAAGCAGCCAACAGTGATCTTGTGTTTTTCCTTCATCTCCTCTTCATCTCTCGCCGGTTCAACTGTAGACTCTGTCTCTCTTGAGTCTCCATCATCAAGATCACTCTCTGTTGTTATCTTCACAGGGGTCCCCCTCTCTTCAACCACGAAGCTCTTTTCTTCCTCTTAAAACAAGTTGAAAGTTAATACAAAGAAATGCATATCTTCACCTAAGCAATGTCAATAAATATGGCTATTGTTTTTAAATTGTTTTTTATGTGGATATTTTGAAGAAGAAAACCTCATTAGCCAGTCCTGCTTTAGTTATCATTGTTTCATCGCAACTATCATGATGCAAAGTTGTGTTTAAACTGAGACATGTAAACATGAATAAAACAGGTATACAAAGCTGTCATTGAGTTGCCTGTCGTAATCGGGGGTACAATTCAAGAACAAATACGTTTATAAAATGTCAGGGCAGTAGTATCACCTTCATCTTCAATGTTTTGGATGAAGTCTTGCAAAAAGTTTACAATCCTCGATTCCCTCTGGCGTCGCAGCGAGCCCAGCTCACTGAAGACTGGAGATATGGCTCCCATCAGGAATTCAGCATCCGGCTTGGAGAGAGGAAAAAATAAAATGGTGTATGCTCAAAGTTGGATGAGCTTAACCCTTTAATTGCCAGACCAAGAAAAAAAGCTATGGAAAAATTATTAGTTTGCATTTTTTTATCAAATGGGCCACACATAACCAAACACATTTTTTTAAAAAGGTATCAATATTGATATTGATATAAAAAGTAATGTAAAGTGTTTTTCACAATAAAAAAAAGACGTGCTCATCTTACTGTAGATGCTGAATTGGCCTAACAAGAAACCACTGGCCTAACAGCAAATGTCTATATCCTGTGTTGGCCTAACTTGCTCATCTGTGTGCAACTTTGGGCTGAATGCCATGCATGAAAGGTGCTATATAAATTATTATCACTCTTTCACTCTGAGACTCATAAGGCAGTACTAGATTTAGTAATATTACCATGAATCTAGCCATTTATTTACCATATTTTATTGGAAAACATCTCTGAAACTCTGAAAAAGTCATATTGCTAGTTTACCATAAAAGGCCAATTCGACCGGTTGGTTGAGCATATTTTCAAAAAAATAATTACACCCTTGTTAAAACTTTTTTTGTGCATCAAGTTATCTAAATATGTACACTCGGTGCTCTGACACTAAAATATGTCAAAGATTATATGGTTACCTTACAAAAGTTGACCAAAAAGAGTGATTTCTTCAGCAGTGATTTTTTAGCATGCCAACTTTCTCAGTGGAAGCTAGCTGAAGGGCTTTCTGTTCAAACCACAGTGACATCTAGAGGTTGTTTTGTGCATAACATGTCAACCAAAGGGTAGAGCTGGCTGAATCAGATGGAGTTACACTTTAAAAAAAAAAATGTCAACAAAATATCAAGACACAAAATGTGCTCTACCAAATGGTGGCGCTGGCTGTTAAAAGGTTAAGGTTTGAAATGCAGTGGTAAAATCAGCTAGAGACATAATACTGACCTTTTCATGAAGGCCAGGGACGAACAGATCCCTGAAGTTGTGTGGTTGTTGTACAATCATCCCGCACAAGCCATACAGCTTCATGCCTGAGCATATCTGCTGCAGCATTGGTAGGATGCGGACCGATGAGTGCAAGATAATTGCCCTATAATTCAGTAACAGATAACAGCAATAATATAAAATCATACATAAAAAAGGGAAAGAGTGACTGCACACTCAATATGAGTGTAAAAGAATAATTGATTGGTTTTAAACATGGGTTGTTATGGGTTAAATCACTTAGCATATGCACATACTTTATTATTTCTTCCTTCCTCTCCCACGTTGCAGGACCACTGTACCCGCATGCTGTTATCCGATCCAGAAGGTCGTACATAGCTTCAGGTTCAGCCATCTCAACCTTTGCAATTGGAAAAACAGCATCACACAGTAAGTCATGGGAGCCTTAGCTTATTTTAAGAATTAGAGAATATTCACACTACAAAGAGGTGTGTGTGTGTCAACCATACTAAAACAAACTTCATGTTATATGAAGGAGTATCTGAGGAGAAGAAAAATATTACCTCTTCCATAAGCTGGCTGAGCTCTGGATCAGTCACATCTTCCTTGGAAATGGAATCTCTATCCATCTCCCCAGTGGATATGTATCCATAGCACCACTCTCTGAAAAAGTTAGGTGGAGGACCACCTTGTACTATACTGACTGCCATAATCTCTCCAGCTGTCCTGCATTAACAAAGTGTAATCATGCATAGACATTATTCATAAATAAAATAAACATGGAAAAGATATTGCAGAACACAATTCTACATACTTGAAATGCTCTTTGTGGTAGTCAGTAATTGAGTACTTGGGGGTTTTCCCTGTACTCCCTCCCTGAAAAAACTTCCTTTCAACACCTGCCATCATTTCTATAATTGAAAGGAAAAGTGGATCAATACATTGATAATCTCAATTAGACCACTGTATATGTTAAAGAACAGCACGCGTCACCCTTAACCTGTGCAAGCTCAGAAATTGCATGCAACCAGAGAACCGCCACACACTGAGGAATATTTTCATTTATTATAAGGGAGGTAAACATATACCTGTTAAGAATTCTTTCCTGAGAGCCCCATGGTCAATTCCAGACTCTCCAATGAAAGACACTCGGAGGGGTTTTTTGGGAGAAGACCTCTTCTGACGTCTCCACTGCCCTAAACCCCTTTCAAAGATTTCCTCCCTAGTGACACTAACATTAAAGAGTGTCGTTGTGTCCACTCGTCCACTAAGTGTTTCGATGGCTTCAGCAAGACTTGAAGGAAACAATTAGAAGTTGATTAGACAACTGGATCAAAAACGTTTTCCCTTAAGAGACCACTTTTGTATCATTGAGTAAACTGACGACCCCTGACTGATGTAAAGTGGCCTCTTTTAAATGATATTCAAGGCATAACAATAACAATGCAGAGCAACTGATGAACGGTACAATTAACACAAATAGTGAACACAATAACTGCAGGACGTTTTTGTTTAAAATAAGCAATTACAGGTACATTTTAAGCATATTACCTTTTCACTCGCCCTGTCAGTTCTTCACTGGCATGTTCTTCCAAATCGATAATTTGTGTCGACTGCAATGTACTGATGAGGGAAAAAAGATTTCAATGGGGCATGCCTTAATCATGGTTTACAATATCTAACACTGCAAGAAAAAAGTATATAAAGAATGTGCATAATAGGAGAAAAAAAAACCTTTCTCTACAAGTGCTGGCATGTATTTCAACAAAATACTCAGGAAATAACTCTGAGCACAATGGACAGGCCACCTTTAAAAATACAGAAAAGCAGAGCAAATATTCAAGTGAATTACTGAGACGCAGAAACCTTCATCATCTGCAATAATGTAATTGATAAATAATGCCCTGATTTTACCTTAATATCGATTTTAGAACAGGAGGTCCTACACGGGAGCACACTTGGAGAAGCCTATAATAAAATGTAGAAAGACTTCCAATTAATGACACATACAATGAAGATTGTTTAGAAACAAACACCTACAATATTAGTGAGCTTACATTCCCAGGATTGCTTGTAGCTGGAGACTCATCTAAATCTGGGTCCAGATCCTGAAAATCGTAACCAGTTAAAAAAAGCTGTCGATTCAGTATGACAATGATCCTGCATAGTTATTTGTGGAATAACATTACCGGTTCCAGATCCATGCGGTCAGAACAGCTGCTTGGTTCACACTCTTGTGCGTGTAAAGCCAACAGCTGGACAGGCATGCTTAGATGACATGTGGCACATCTGGCTTTTGGCATATTTTCGAACTCCTCTGATGAGTAGGGCAAGGGGGAGGTGTCTAAAGTGTCCTGGATGGGCATTATATAGAGACAGCCTTTTCCACCTAAAGCTTTAGCAAGGTAGGCCCCCGTGTAACCCTCTGCCTCAGGTGCCAAAACACTTAATTTCCGCTGGCCTGATCCTCCTATGTGGGAATGTGTACAAACAAGTGGATGTTATTTAATGCACAGAATGTTCTAGGGGAGGCAGTTGATTTTAACAAGATGCACACTTGCAGTGTTAGGCTTTCTCATGGATTGCTAAAAACAAGAGGGTAGGTAAATATGCTAACCATCAAGGGCATTGATGAGCTATTATAAGAGCAGCTATTGTAGGAGAAGATAGAGGGTATACATAGGATTTAACTGCAGAAATACTAGACCACAGTTGAATTTAATAAGGGAGATTTTATCTTACCAGCAGCTTTATGTAGCATCCAGGCCCCTTCCAATGGTACCATTTTGGAATATGATTGCATAAGTATATATGATATCTATGTGGGAAGAGCAAAACAAGTGTGCAGTTAGAACTATAACCCTCCACACATGTCACCTCTGTTGAAGCTGATTTGTGACCAGTAGTACTTCAGTGGATTGGGAAACTACAGTAATACATAAAAAATGTCCCCAAATTGGGATCAATAAAGTGCTTCTTATATTATCTTGACTCCTTTCCTTATTATTTTTTCTATCTTACCTGGGAGTGGTCAGCATTTTCGGGGATATTGAGAGTCCTCCTGCCAAGTCCAGCCTGGAGAAGGACCATTTCATCCGATGACTTTGGTGTTCTTTCTGTGCACTGATTGAGCAGAAAGAACTGGATTGGGGTTGACCTAAGAGCCCTTCTTTTGGGAGATGGGGTATAGCTTTTACCGGATTTGAATAGGCCGGGGAAAGCCCTGAGGAGTTGAAAACAATGTGTAAGAGAGGCATTTAAGAAGCTGTTATACAATATATTCATTCTAAACAATCTGAAGAGCGTTAATTTCTATTAAAAAATACCCTGAATTATAGTAAATTGCCGAGTTATTACAATGACAATTCAGTTCAGAACTATCTTTATTTCCTAACGGATCCAAACCTGGCCATATTTTGATCCACTGTATTTCCTGCTGTAGAAGGAAAGCCAGGGGTCCTTTGTTGCTGCTGCCCCTGGACTGCCTGACGCTGCCTTTTCCCAGCCTGCTGCCTGTTGCCAAGAGCAGACTGCTGCTGTCCCTGTATAGTAGGCTGTCTGTTGCCCACCTCCACCTGCTCTCCCTGAACCTGTACTTCATCTGTGAACACAATTTAAAGATGTCTATGATTCCCTAGAATCTAAATAAACTGAGTACTAAATACGTAAAGTAGTTAGAATATATAAAGGCTTCATTAATTAAACATTACCCAGATAGTCACAAGCCCTGAAAATAAATAGAAGAAGAACAAGAAGAAGATGAACCTTTAATTATCCCCCATGGGGAAATTCAGTTTTTCACTCTGGTTTTAATATAGGTTGGTAAAACTGTCACTGAAACACCTCGGCGTGCTTCCGCCGGCCAAGACTGCAGCTGTAATTTTTTGTAAACGGCTGACCATTAGATGAATCTGTGAAGACAAGTGATCTCCCCCTAGTTTCACTTACGATTTTGAGAAGTTGGTTCAGCCAAGGCACTTCTCAGCAAGTCAACAACACGCCTGGTAGCATTTTGTAACTCTATCTGTTAAAACAGACACAAACAAGAAATAGTCAAATTGATTGTCACAATCACAGTGCAAAGACATGTCGTCTTGTTTATCCAGATCTGCTGACAGTTCACTTTAGCTAACTTTTATTATTGCGGGCAGACAGCTGTGTCACTTTCTTCTTATACCGTGGCTTGTAAATAATGCAATGTCAATATCTTAAATGCCCGTCAAGCAGATACAATTATAGTTATGTTAAACCATAGTTTTCTATATGCATAGCTAAAAGTACCGGTAGTTTTTTTGTACGTACCTCCTTGTCGTCAGCCATTCTTCTTCTGCGGGGCTTTCCCGCTCCGATATCTCTCGTCATTTGAAAACGGCCAATCATAAAAGAGGAGGGGTGTAACCAATTAGATTTGGCGTTACTGGGACACGGTACGCCCACTTCCTAAAATTTCTCCGCGAGTGAGAGCAGGCCAGAGTTTCACGAGCAGAAGAGCAGGAATTGCTCGCGAGAGCGCAGGAGACCAAGGAGAGCTCATGTAGATGCTGCACATGCTCAAGGCATGTTTCTCCCCTGCAGGCTTCAATATTGCTCTCGCGCGAGTGCCGTTTTAGTGCTCGCGAAAATAATATACGTCCGCGGCTGCTTGACTTGTGCTCGCGTGGATCTCATATGCCCTCGCGATTTATGACAGAGATTTGCCGCCATACCTTTGAAGCTTGCAGCAAAATGTCACACTTTTTACTGTTTTCTGCAAGGGTGCTACTGAAATGATGTGTGTGTCACTTCTGATGTTGGATAATGTTATGTGTGTGCGTGTTTGTTTGTTTGTTTGTATGTATGTATGCATGTGTGTGTGTGTCCAACTTTAAAATACTTTTCTCTTAGAAGGCCACACTGCGTAATAATCTAATTCAATAATAAAAACAATGAGTTGTGAGAACCATGACATCCTGCAGCATATTGTGTCCATGACAAACCTGCATGGGAGACGGTCAATTGCAGAGTGGCGAGATATGGACACAGAGGAACTGCAGGCTTACGTGGGGCTGCTCATTTTGGCCGGTGTTTATAGGTCAAAAAATGAATCGACCCTCAGCCTCTAGAGTGAGAAATCGGAACGGAGCATTTTCCGAGCCACGATGTCCCACAAGAGGTTTCACCAAATCAGCCGAACACTGCGGTTCGACGACAAGCTATCCCGACCGCGGCGCCGTGATGACAAGCTGGCTGCCTTCCGCAAAGTCTGGGATATGTGGACACATCGCCTGCCGATGCTGTTCACCCCATTCCAGAGATGGAGTACTCGAGTCCTGGACTCGGACTCGAGTCGGACTCCAGTGTCGATTTTCGGGACTCGTGACTCGACTCGGACTCGCGCACTGATTGACGTGACTCGGACTTGGACTCGTGAATTCTCGCGCACGATGACTTGGACTCGGACTCGTGAGTTCTGGCGTACACTTGGACTCGGACTCGTGAATTTCCCCAACACGATGACTCGGACTCGACTTGTACAATGACGCTCCGACTTGGACTCGGACTCGAGCAAGTTTTCTCTGGAGTCTGATGTCCTCTATCCTGGCGTGTGCACCTGCGAGGCGAGTTCACGTACTGGGCCCGCTATTCCAGTCTAAAGATGTCTAGAGACACACCCCGCATCGTGCTGTATGCTTTCACACATTCTGCTTCCACATTGGAAAAGAGCAGCGCAAAATGCTCGTTATGTGGAAAAAATATTGAAGAGAAGGCTCCGTAACACATTACTCTAAGGATCGAGTTCAGACATATAGGCTGTCTTGAACACTATCATCAGAGTAACGTGATTCAGCCGATAACACGAAAGCACATGGCTACTTAACATACAGAATGACGTCATTTTGCATGCTAAGTAGCCATGTGCTTTCTGGGGATTAATCTTCATCAGTAAACCGATTTAACCGGTAAAAGTTCCTTCAAAATAAGAGTCCCGATCTTATTACTATCAAAATAAAAGTGCAAAACAAAAACTTTACCATAGCAAAATATTGGCATACAAATATAATCACTTCTCTAAAAGGTAACTCATTTTAAATATAGTTAGACATATTATAGGTCATTTACAATAATAATAATAATAATATTAATATTAGTAATACGCTTTATATTTGTATAGTACTATTACAAGAATTGTAGCCAAACTCGCTTCACAGCAGTTCAATAAACAGATTAGTATAACATGACAGGATAAAAGCAATGTAGAGGAGCAGCTACATTTCAACACATATATCCACGAAGATTAATACATGAAGACTTGTGACTCGGACTTGACTTGGACTCTTCTGAGGTGACTTGGACTCGGACTCGAACTGTTGGAGCAGAACACCTAGGGTGGTGGCTGATAGCCCCCCCCTCCGCTACGCGCCGTTCGTTAGATGAGGCTGATCTCTATTTAATAAAGAAAGGAATTGAAAACACCGGAATCAAAAGTTATAACAATTATCTGAGTTTACTGGTAGGAAACAAAACACGTATACAAGTCTTACAGAGTACTCCGGACTTCAGGTTTGTGATGCGATGCGGATACAGGTATCGGGACCAACCACTCAGCAAACAAGAAGCAGGGACTTCAGGTTTGTGATGCGATGCGGACACAGGTATCGGGACCAACCACTCATCAAACAAGAAAGCATTTTACATACAAAAACAACAGTATTCATATTCATATTTTGGGGCGGAGATGGGTTGACTTCTTCCGAAGCGAATTAGAGAGTCCGTGAGGAGGAGCTGTGTGAGCTGCTCACTCCCCCAGGTGTTTTTACTGGTTGGATTCACTTCTGGTCGGGTTCAATACAGCGAATCAGAGTTCTGACCAGAACGTGAGATTCTGAAGTTCCTCAAGGGCAAAGTCAATCTTATCTCTGCCCCGATATCCACTCCCTTACTTTCCCATGGGATCTTTCACATAAACTATTCCTTTCAGACAATTAAACATTGTACACAAATATAATGAAGCCCATAAAGAACCTTGAAAAGAATATGTGTGTGTGTGCTTAGTAGGAAGGAGGTGTATGTGTGTGTAACAGGATCTCTGGGTCAGTGAGTTGTAAGTGAGAATATAATATCTATATATGTGATTACTTAAAACAGTTCAAACAATACATGTTCACTAAAATACAATTCAAAATAATACATGTTTACTTCAATACAGTTTAGAATCATATCTTTTTACTTCAGAACACAGGTAATGATGACTCGGACTCGACTCGGACACTCGTTGGGTGACTCGGATTTGGACTCGGACTCAAACACAGGTAATGATGACTCGGACTCGACTCGGACACTCCTTGGGTGACTCGGACTTGGACTCGGACTCGACTACGACTCTCCCTTGGTGACTCGGACTTGTACTCGGACTCGAAGAGTGGTGACTCGAGAGTGACTTGGACTCGTGAATTGGTGACTTGACTACAACACTGGCCCATTCAGCGACGTCTGCGTGGATGAACAGCTCGTCCCATTCAGAGGCAGGTGCAGCTTCAAGCAGTACATGCCAAAAAAGCCGTCCAAATACGGTATAAACATTTGGGCAAACTGTGATGTAAAATCATCCTACGCCTGGAGACTGCAGGTGTATACAGGCAAAGCAGCTGGCCAACCAGGGGATGAGGGTGGTCCTGGAGATGACAGAGGGGCTCCAGGGACACATCATTAGCTGTGACAATTTTTTCACGTCCTTCGCACTGGCTGAGGAGCTGCTCAGGAGAAAACTGGCCCTGGTTCAATCATTGACCAATCTAGGGACCTAATAATAACAATAATCAAATATTCATTGAAATGTATTTTTTGAAAATTATTTCAACAAATTGGCATTTAAAGGGTTAAAATCCCCAAAATATAATTCATATGTGTATGTCAGGCTGGAGTAGTTTTAAAAGATTGACTCTTTTAAAGTGGGAAAAAATAGGAATATATCATAATCTTATGGCAGTTTTTGTGAAGGTGGCATTTTTTGGCCTTAGGAACACGAGTGTGAGTTTTTGTTTAGATCTAACACTGCAAAAAAAATAACAATGCATTCAAATCAATGTTGCTGCCAATCATTGACCAATCTAGGGACCTAATAATAACAATAATCAAATATTCATTGAAATGTATTTTTTGAAAATTATTCTAGTTTTTTGTTCTTTTCAATAAAAAAACTGGAGTTTTTTCAACAAACTGGCATTTAAAGGGTTAAAATCCCCAAAATATAATTCATATTTCATATGTGTATGTCAGGCTGGAGTAGTTTTAAAAGATTGACTCTTTTAAAGTGGAAATAAATATTAATATATCATATTTTTATAGCAGTTTTTGTGAAGGTGGCATTTTATGGCCTTAGGAACAAATACGTTTTTTTTTTTTTAAAAGGGACTCTTACGGCCCGTCCACACAGCGGCGTGCGTTGAAGCTTGGCGGTGGGCGTGTGTGAAGCTTGGGGATTTCTCGCGAGCAACGCGACCAACAACCAATCACATGAATCTCCCGCCCCCGACATACAAAGCAAAAAAGCCAGAAGTAAACTTGGATATAAACTCCCCAAACAGGCGAAAACCTACCACTGTCTCTGCCACCTCCCTCCATGCCTGGCTCCTCCGGTTTGTATCCCGGTAGGTAAATAGGGACTGGTCATAAAGCACCGGGTGATTCCCTACCGCTATAATTAATTTCTCCTCCATTTTTTGGAATATGAGGAAATGACCTGCGGTATGTCTCTCCCAGCATACACGCGGTTTGATTGGCTAGCGCTTGAACTGGCAGATTTGCATAAATGGGATTTGATTGGCTGACGCTTCCACCGAAGCTTCAAAAGTTGAACATTGTTCAACTTTTGCAGCGAGCAACGCTTCCAAAGCTACGCTTCCAAAGCTACGCTTCCCACAATGCAGTTCGGCGAAGCTTGATGTCACCCCATTCAAAGTGGGCAGAAGAAGCGTTGAAGCTTCAACGCACGCCGCTGTGTGGACGGGCCGTTAAGGGTTAAATAGATAAAGGTGTGCTCTCTCTAGCTCTGTCTCGCTCGCTCACAGAGGCTGTGTGCTCCTCCGTGGCGATGACGCGAGCGCCACGTATTATTATTTTAATGTATAAAAAAAAAGTTTGGTACCTGGATGCGCACCGCTGCTGAATGTATATAGGGGAAACACTGCTTGAAATTACTAAGTTCGAGGGGAGGCGAAGGTATGGGGACAGTTAGAAGGAGTATGATGGGACCCACTTGCAAGCCAACATTGGGTTGCTAATTTTGGCAGGAGTTTACAAATCAAAAAGTAGAAGAAACAGCAAGCCTTTGGAATGCTAACACTGGAAGGGCAATATTTCCAGCCAGCATGTCTCCAAAGCCATTATAGGTTATCTCTCGTGTCATACTTTGATGACAGAGCAACGAGACACTGCCGAAGAGAGTGTGAGAAACTCGCAGTAATACAGAATGTATGGGACAAGGGGGTTCAGCAATTACCCTTGCTTTACAATCCAGGCCCCAACCTGACTGTGGATAATTGTCTGGTTGTGTTTCGTGGGTGCATTCCCTTCAGACAATACATACCAAGCAAACCGGCAAAGTATGGCATCCAAATATCGGCAGCATGCAATGCAAAGTCCAGCTATGTCTGGCATATACCGGTGTACACTGGTAAAGCCCCCTGGGGAAGCACCTGTAAATAGGGCATGAGGG